TAAGGAGGTATAAACACTTTATAGTAGAAAAGCAGGAAGGCTCCAGGTGTGCCCTGATTGGAGGCTGTTGGCGCCTGGGAGGCTGATGGTGAGCCAACCAGAAGCAGGGTGACCTATGCAATTACTTAGGCGTGCACATTTGGCTTTCTCTGCTTGGCCCTGAATTGGAAACAGGGGCAAAAAATTAGAGATATTGTCATTTATTGATCATTCCTGGAAGATTTGAGCTGATTGCCCCAGCAGCGGTGGTTTGACTTCCTGGGCTGATGGCTGTAGGTTATGGGTCAGACTTTTGCTGTTAAACATTGTTATTTATCTTGTCTTCCATTTGAAAAATGTTCTGCTTTTTAAAATTCATTGTATCCTCATTTGTCTATACTACTTAGGCCACCATTGTACAACTCTTTCATGGGATGAACTTTCTGAGGCATAAATTTGGGGTTGATTTTCCGCTAGTTCATGGGCTGTTTGGGTTATTGTCGTTTTAATTGTTATTATAATAATAAAATATAACTCACAATTAGGCCATAGAACTGAAAACCATACAGAAGTAAATAATATACTCTCTTCTCCCCTGACAACTTCTTCATGCCACTACTCACTCGGTTAACCAGTATTAATACCTTCTGATAAATCCTTTTGGAAAATTTATATGTATATATAAGCATATTGATTATATACCTATACTTGCATGTTTACCTCTTTTTTAAAAGTTGTATGCAATGTGATTATACTGCAAATACCCTTTTTCAAGCTGCTTTGAAAAAATTTTAAGAGATATTCCTAAATGCCTCATTAAAAAAAAAAACCCAAAAAAAAACAGTGCACCAATCTATCTGCTCATCAAGTATCTGAGAATATTTGGTTCTTCCCATGCTTATTGACAGTAAATATTCTTCATAATTTTATTTTTATTTGTTTATTTATTTTTGACAGTCCTGGGGTTTGAACACCAAGGCCTGTGCTTGCTAGACAGGTAGTCTATCATTTGAACCATGACCCCGGTCTTTTTTGCTTTAGTTTTGGGGGATTTTTTTAGATCAAGAATCTTTTTCAGATTATTTTATATACATCATGTACATTATATACATTGTTTTATATTTTGTTTTTTCTGTCCAATTTTGTTCTTGGATCAGTTTCTTCTTCCTTTGTATGAACTTTCTCGATATTGAAACGAATAAGCCAGGCATGGTTGTACATGGCTGTGATCCCAGCACCTGGGAAGCAGAGGCAGGAGGGTCACCAGTTTGAGGCCAGCCTGGGCTGCACAGTAAGACCCTGTCTAAAGAACAAAGCGAAGGAAAAAGTCCCTATGTTTTGTCATCTGTCTTTTGACTTTGTGTATGCTGCCTTACTTTTGCCATACAGAAATTTTAAATTTATATAATTAGATGTATGAAGTTTTCCCCCCATTGGTATGAATTTTGTGTTGAGTTAAAAGGCTTTCTTGTTTTGCTATTTTTTGGTTTTTAATTAAATCATCCTGTCTAGTAGCAAAGCAGTTGTACAGAATGAAATTGGTGTACCTGGTTTCCTGAATTGGCATATTCGGTTATCTAAGAATGGTTGATGACTTTTTGGGTTAAACCCCTTTCATGAGAAAAAGGAAATAGGAAGTAAAGTAGAGTTGTTAGTCACCCACTGCATGAGCTTTCTTCTCACTGCTAATTACCCTTTTACTTCTTCATTCTGGAAACAGCGTTTGATCCTAGTATTAATTGCTACAGCTCATAAATCTGCATGGCAGGAAAATGTAAGCGTGACATGATTCTGGGGGTGAAATGGTCCTCTTTGGGAACACAGGCCACACACACCTACACATCACATTCAGGAATACCATGACTTCCTGTTTGCCACATTTGGAGGGAACTTGTGGATAGAGACAAAATGGTCCAGTGAGCTGAGGGCTGCAGGGAGGGAGTTGGGAGCTAGGAAAGATGCTGCTTAACCTGGTTTGTCCCTTTAGTGAGTTCGTTTCCTTTTCTAAGGACAGACAGTAACTGCTGTTGTTGTTGCCCTCACCACAGTCACTGACCCAGGCCCTTCTTACTCATTCTTAAGGCATTAAGGAAGCCATTTGTCTCAAGCACCGTGGCATTTGTTTGCTGCTTGGTGTTTGTTGCAAACTTGATTCAAAATAGGTTAGGAAATGAAGTATTATTCAGCCATAAAGAAGAAGAAAATTTTGCTGTTTTCAGAAAAATGGATGGAATTGGAGATCGTCATACTGAATGAGATAAGCCAAGTTCAAAAAGCCAAATGGCACATGTTTTCGCTCATATGCTGAACCTAGACCTAAAATGATAATGATGATAATGAACCATGAGTGTAAAAAGAGTACTGCCTGTGGGGGGGATTGGTGGGAGAGGGAGAAGCTAATGGGGGTGAAGATGATGAATATATAGAGAGAGAGAGAGAAAGAGAGAGACAGAGGGAGAGAGAGAGCTATTCTTTCTTCCATCTCCTAGCACCCATACTTGCAAAGTCCACCACATTGGCAGGCAATATGGACAAGACATTTAATCATCTAACTATGTTTATGCTACATTTGTGCTTCCATTAAACGAAGCAATAAAAATAGTCACCGTGAGGAAGAAAAAGCACAGCTAGACATTTCAATATTGCATTGCTTCATTCATGTAACAGGCATTTGTCTAGCTCTCACAACATAACAAGTACTGTAGTAGATGTTGGACATGTTTCCAGGGATAATAAAGAGAACTATAGATGGCAAGCATTGAGCTCTTCCTACTTAGATGTGGATTATCTCATAGATTTCTCAAATTGACCTTCATATTAGGTATTTTTATAATGTCTATTCAAAGGTAAGGATAATAAGACCTAGAAAGGTCGAATAACTTACCCAGAGCATACTGTTAACAAGGATCAAAGCTGTTACATGAGCTACTTTTAAATTGTTTACTGTTGTTTCTACACGAGGCACAAACAAGCCCCGGCCTTCACAAAAACTATAGTTTGAAATAGTGAACACGTCTACCAAAAAGCTTTAAAAATAATCTCAGGAAAAGTGTAAAGTACCCTCCAGATGCTGTTCCCTGCCTTTTTTTTTGTTTTTTTTAGCAGATTTTATGTTAGTTGCACATATTTGGCTAATGGAAGCCATGCAGTTGATGTGGCCTCCTTTTAATTCCAACCAAATCCATGTGTCCTATCTCCAATGTCCTTCTTGTGTCCTCCTCCTGGAATCCTTTGGATTGTCCTCCTGCACATCCTTTCTTTCTCTGTGCTTCTCTCTATTCCTGTTTATTTTGTCTCTCCCATCTAGATAATTACGAAAGAACCCCAAATGTCATACAATGTAATTTTGAAGGAAAACATGGAAAGACAGGACACTTTATTGCAAATGAAATTAGCTACTGATGGATGGCTTTGTAAGCCTAGGGGTCCTTCTTTAGCATTTTCTGGCATTTAAGGGATACAGGATTCCAAAAGCACATCCACTCCATTCTGCTGTTGTTAATCTCATTTTTTTCCATGATTAACAACCCAGTTCATTATGTTTTCAGCTCACATTAATCATCCCTTCTGCAAGTTTGGTAACATTTGGAGTCATTTCCCTCTGTATTTATCCATCTGGGATCTTTATGAAAGTGAAGTTTGCAGAAAGTCATTTGTTGCTCATGCAGAAAGTTGTTCCATGCTCACTGCTATACCAGAAGCGAATGCTCTCCTGGTTTCTCAGATCCTGGGAGGGAAAGTTATGAAATTATGCATGGATTCTTTCTACCATGTAAAGTGTCCCTCAATGCTCAACTGATCTCTGTGGGGTCCTCTGGAAAAGAAACAAGATTCACAACAAGAGGGATTAAGCTACAGCACAATAGCCTTGGAAGTCACAGAAAGCAGTGCTCACTGCATCCTGACTGTGCTCATAGAGCAGATGGGATTGGAAGAGAGCTGTGGGAGTAGTGGAAAAAGTTGTGAGATTAATGAGTCAGAGCAAAGACTTTGGCTGGATTCCTGTCTGCACACCTACAAGGTGTTTGACCTTGAACAAATCACATAATCTCTCTGAGATCCACTGTCTTACTCTGTGAACTGGTCCCAAAACTGTGCCTGTCCTCTCTACATCAGAGGGTAGCTATGAGTGTTAATCTATACTCTCATCTCTGTCTCTGCTGTTGAGTAAGCTTTTTATCTTATTTGTATCACTTGATTTTGTAATTAGATAGAAACATATTTCTCCCTGTAATCTGTATATACAGGAAAGAAAAAGTAGTTTACTGGGAAAGTCTTACAGACTAATATTTCTCAATCCTTTTCATATAAGTGTGTATCATATTTAAGATCTGTTGGATAAGGGAAATAGAAAATAGAGAATACTTTGGAAATTCAGTTGCAAGCAATCTCTCAGGTATAATATAATCTCAGGAAGTCACAAGGTAAGAAACTCTCCTGGAGGTTCTTGTTTGTCTGCTCCCAGCAACCTCTTGTGGTGAAAATTGGAAAGCATTTGATCAATTCTTTATTCAAGTTAAGATGCTTCTTTAGAAACAATGCTTCAAATTGGGCATCTATTCAGAAGCCATGACAGACATTCTATGGTCATTAACCATGAAATATCAATAGTATTTCTCATTGCTGCCCAAGTGCAGGGCTAAATTTTGCATTAATGCATTTGTTACTATAGGAACAGTGAAAGACATAATTAAGTTTTGTTGGTGTAGAATTAAGAATGGGTCCAGGAGAGAAATAGAAGAGATGAGAGAAATAGGGACTATTTGCTGTGATTCTACTCAACTCAAAACAAAATGACAGAATTTGGAAACTAAGGCTTTTATTGTCAGTCCTCTCCCCAGCACCTGGGAATTAAGCAGGAGATTCCCACTACACAGGTAACTCCCAGTGGTGTCGATGGAAATTACCTGCATAAGTAACCTTCCTGCCTGCGTTGAATGCCAGACACCTGAGAGCACTTTTAATTGCAGTGTATTTCCCTTTGCAAACGAGCTAATTACATCTGTTTCCCTTTCCTTTAGGTTCCCAAGCAAGGACAGGAATAATGAAGACACACATGTGCTAGCTGTACCCTTTTAAACCCCACAAGAAGGAAATCAATGGTGTGGACAGAGCTGGAACCATTGCCACACTTGTTGGAGTAAATGAGGAATGGACTTAGGATTATGCTGACATTCCAGCATGAATCTGGTAGACCTGTGGTTAACCCGTTCCCTCTCCATGTGTCTCCTCCTACAAAGTTTTGTTCTTATGATACTGTGCTTTCATTCTGCCAGTATGTGTCCCAAGGGCTGTCTTTGTTCTTCCTCTGGGGGTTTAAATGTCACCTGTAGCAATGCAAATCTCAAGGAAATACCTAGGGATCTTCCTCCTGAAACAGTCTTGCTGTATCTGGACTCCAATCAGATTACATCTATCCCCAATGAGATTTTTAAGGACCTCCATCAACTGAGAGTTCTCAACCTGTCCAAAAATGGCATTGAGTTTATTGATGAGCATGCCTTCAAAGGAGTAGCTGAAACCTTGCAGACTCTGGACTTGTCAGACAACAGGATTCAAAGCGTGCACAAAAATGCCTTCAACAACTTGAAGGCCAGGGCCAGAATTGCCAACAACCCCTGGCACTGTGACTGTACTCTACAGCAAGTTCTGAGGAGCATGGCATCCAATCACGAGACGGCCCACAACGTGATCTGTAAGACCTCCGTGTTGGATGAGCACGCAGGAAGGCCATTCCTCAATGCTGCCAACGATGCTGACCTTTGTAACCTCCCTAAAAAAACTACTGATTATGCCATGCTTGTCACCATGTTTGGCTGGTTCACCATGGTGATCTCATATGTGGTCTATTATGTAAGGCAAAATCAGGAGGATGCCCGGAGACACCTTGAATACTTGAAATCCCTGCCAAGCAGGCAAAAGAAAGCAGATGAACCTGATGACATTAGCACTGTGGTATAATGTCTAAACTGACTGGCACTGGGAAAGAAAGTAGTTTGCAATTTCAGTAGAAAAAGTGGTTTACTTCTTCCATTCGTTGTAAACATTTAAAACTTTGTATTTCAGTTTCTTTTGAAATATGCCATTATTGAACTTTTAACAAACACTCCAACATAACAAATAATTTTAGTTTAGTGATCTACCCCCTTCATTGTGCCCCTGATGGTATATCCCTAAGTAAGCTACTGTCTAAACATTAGTTAGTCCCATCTCACTATTTAATAATGAAATTTATTTTTTTAATTTAAAACCAAATAAAAGCTTAACTTTGACCATGGAAAATGGAGTGACTTATTGGTCAAGAAAATAGTATCATCATTTTAGTTACTTTAGAGAAAAACAGACAACCCTATGAGTCTAAATGACTATCCGATGAAAGGTGTGTTAAGACTTCTTGCACATTGGGGAGCCATGGTAGAATAACTGATCAAGTTAAGTATCTTCCAGACTATAAAATACTGAGCTCTAGCCAACCTACATGGTTAAAAAAGTATGGCATCCTGCAGATGTTCATACTGGAATGCCTTTTGGCATTTGCTCTTCAAAATAGGTACATTTAGGAGTTGTGGCTCAAATGGTAGAGATCTGCTTTGTAAGTACAAAGCCCTGAGTACAAACACCAGTCCCCACCAAAAATAAGTACATTTAGCTATAAAGACCAAATACTTACTATGCTTCTACTCTATGCTAGACACAACAGAAAAGAAAAAGATGACATGCTATATCCTCAAGTTTGCTTTCTGGTGGACAGGGGTGTGTATCAAATACAGAAATAGCTATGCTAGAAAGGAAGGACTTAATAATCAGGTAGTTTCAACTATGAAAAAGCACTGTGTGAGGAATTTGATACTATTATTGTCTCTAAACTCTCACTACCAGAGGAGAAAGTGACTGCCACCCCCATTTATGTGAAGAAAGACTACACATGAGAGAGATTCAATGACTTATCAAGTAGAAAGTAGCAGAACTTAAATTTGAACCATGTCTTTCTGTCTCCAAAAACTGATCTAATCTATAGCCCTACTGAGTAGGTATATAGAAGTATAACATACATATTTAAAAATGTGCTCACATTAAATATATAGTTCTGTGAGTTTTGAAAAAATGTATACACCTGCGAACCTACCATGCAATGAAGATATTGTGTCCCTGTCATTAGTCAGAGCAGGGGAAATCACATTTGGCTCTTGGAGTCAGGAATGATGGGTTTGTTTGTTTATTTGTTTGTTTTATGATGCCATACATATAATCCTCAGAATTTAGGAGGAATCTCATGAGATGAGGGTGTAGGCCAAAAAAGATAGAATCAGGGGAGCAAAAGGATAAAGGTATAGGGAGGTACATAGGATGAAGGGGACTATTCAGAGAAGTGAGAGAAAAGGCTGGCACCATAAGGCAGGGGTCTTTGTTCCAGGCTAAAAAATTACAGTAATTTGTTATGATATCAAATATCATGCACCTGGCACTTTCTTTGGATTGTCTTAATTAATTCTTACAACTATAGGATAGCTTTTGAAGATGAGAAATCACAAATATGATATGTCTGATATATTGTAAGAACATTTATGAATGCCACAATGTACCCCCACCCAACACAACAATAAAAAAAATTAGAAAGAAGAAAAGATGAGGAATCAGAGACACAGAGTGAAGTAATTGATTCAGGATTTGAGAGCTTATAAAATCTTCAGTAGATACTGCACTAGGTCATTGAACTCTAGAAACTCTGGGCCTTGGAGCCAGTGCACGGTACTGCCTTACAGTCACAGGTTTTGCTACATAAAGTTCCTCACACCCACGAGTTTGCAAACTCATTTCAAAATAATAGCAAAAACAGACCTTTGTGAGGCTTATGTAGGAAAGAAGGGTCCTCGGCCACCTTTTGAGACACAGTCTTCTTCAACCTTCTCTGACCTGAAATTATCTTTGGAACTCCAGGAATCACATTTCCACCCTTGGAAGGATCTAGGGTTCTGATCTGTTTCAGTAGTCTAGCTAATGTTTACTGGAGATATTGGGCTGTCCAAGACCTATAGCAAGACATGCAGAACAAAGTGACTATGCTAGGCTCATGGCATGCAACCAGGACCACTGTGTTTTCACACCCACTTTAACCATACTAAGAACTGTTAAGTCTAGTGCAAAAGCCTGTGGTAACTCCGAAATGTGAAATTTGGGATATGGGTCCTAGAATTCCTGCATCCCAGTCAGAAGTAAGCCATACTGTTTGCTTTTGCTGACTGGATTTGAGTGTCTTCCAGCGAAGTTGGGACTTTGCTGAAGATCTGACGCCCCCTGGAGGACAGCATTGTAATACAGCTCTGTAAGTACTACCATAGGAAGACACCTAACTCAACTGAGTATACTTCTCTCCCCCTCAAAAAAACAGGAAAATTAAGTCTTTACTAACACAATGCCTTAAAAATGAAATATATTGTGTTTGAGTGTATGAGTCACATTCAGCTGAGAATATCTTTCACAAATCAGATGATGCAGTCTAGGCTGTTCCTCCCAAAATAATCTTTATATCCTTGGGGATTGTAAATTCAAGGTCATCATGGGCTGTATATCATAATCCTGACTCCAAAAAATGCTTATTTTCCTAATGGACAATTGGATTAGTAAAGTTGAAGTACATCTAAAGGAAAAATCTCTGAGAAGTTTGTAAGGATAGTCACATTCTTGTTCAGATGTAAGAAAATTAAATATCTACGTATTTAGTTTGTAATTTTCCATGTTCATGGAGCTGAGAGGTGGGTTATAGGTTCATAATTATTCCTCTCCCTGAATTCTATATGTAGAATATCATTTAACAATACCCTCAGTGCTTTAAAAAAAACTAATTTATGTTGGTATTAATTGAATTTGAACATTGGTACATAAAATCAAATAAAAATACATTCCTGGGTCCATTTGTTACCAGATCTGAGAGGAAATGATCTTCCTGCTTGCTTGTAAGGATATTCTACTCCACTAGGCAATAGTGTGTGGTGCCGGGGAGTGGAGAGAAATGTTCATATATAGAGTGAAATCCCCAACAGGCAGCCTCCAGTGCCAATCCCAGCTTGCTTCTTCATTTTCCAAACGCTTGCAGATATTTATGTTCAGGGCGAGCTACCTATTTTAGGACTGGAAAGTTTTTGAAATTAACTATCATCTCATGATCTGAGGCACATACCTTCTTATTTCTAGAATATTTCAAATAAGCACTTTTTCTCAAACTGCTCCATTGGCATTCCTCTCCTTTAACCTCGACCTTTTAAAATTAAAAAAAAAAAAAAACCTGAATTTTTTAGTGTAATCTTTGACAGTGTGCTTATCTCTGAAGCAAGAAAAATTATAAAATATACCAACCCAACTGGAACATTTTTTAGAAAGTGATAAAAAGCTATGTAATGGAAGATTTAGTTTTCAATAACATTTGGGCAAAGTGTAATGCATTGGCATACCAAAACTGCCAGGTGCACATTTCTTTTCTAAGTCCTTCTTTGATTCCCTACAGTAGTTCTTGTTCTGACATCAGCAAGAATAAGGCAGTCTGGGATATGGATAAGTTATCCCTGTTGACTGAAGACTTTCAGTTCATACAGGATGCTTCTCCTGTAGCTGGCAGAGGTGGGGGATGGGAAATTCTGCTTGATTAAATGGTCAGGTTACAGCAGATATGTGAGCTCTTAGAATGCTGAGGACAGAGGAAGGATGATCTCACCCACTTATTTTACATATGTTGAAGTTGAAATCCTTGATAGCTTGGGGATTCACATTTATGTGTCCCTATTTCCTATCCAATGTCCTTTTCAGGATACCAATTGCCTCTCCTGATAAATTATTTCACAATCACCAAAGAAACAGAAAACAGAACAAATATACTCCATGATAATGTCAGTGTCTATCAGAAAGTTTCTTTAAGAACTCAAAAGACTCCTGCAATGCCACAGAGTCATCATAAAGAATACCTATGATTCTAAAAGACACTCTTGTTCCTTCAAAATAAAATGAGGGGATCTGTTTGCCTTTACAAGATCTTCCAGATAACTCTTTCAATGTTTTGCATGGCCTGGCTTCCCAGGGGAGAGAGGGACAAAATGATCCTTGTGCAGCTTCCTGGAGAGGGAGTTGATTAGCACTGTTTCCTTAAGTAAGGACATTACCACGGTGGTCCACTGCAGTGCAGATCTGCTGGCAGAGAAGGACGCCCCGTAACTGATGCTGTTATCTATGTCCAGTGCTCTTTTCAGCCTGGCTTCTTAAAAAGATATCATTGATTCATCCAGTTAGCTGCATCTGACCTCGAGAAAGCAAACCAGAGGCAAACTCAGTTACACACATTTGTAATTGCTTTCCCTAATTCTTTCCCAAATCTATTTAGGTGAGTCAGAATTCAGGGTAAAGAAAGACCTGCATTCTTCATTCTGCATTGGCCCACACTCAACATGGATGGTGAGAATGCACCAAATGACTGCTAGGTCACACAGACTCAACTGAGACACTCCTTGAGGGCCAAGACCTTTTCCTTCCAACTCAGGAGACTGATACTCCTCAGGCCACAAGATAGACATAGAATGCCATGATTTCATGAACAAGTGACGGTAAAAAAGAAAGTCACTGATTTTTATGTCTATAGCTTCCTTAACATTAAAAGTACCAAACTCAGTGTGAATCATTTGAAGCACACATACATATCTGTGTCCACATTTATATTTATGAAATATGGATAACTGAATTCTGAAATCATCAGGAAAAGGGTTAGTGGGAATACTGAAAACAAAGTGTACCTGTCAGTAATTTGCTCTAGCAATGACCTAGGCTTCAGATTTCTGTGGAAATTAGTAGATGTACTTTTAAAGCTGTCCTCAAGTTCAGTGAAAACATATGTACTTGCCACTGAGAGTAGCTGAGTTGATCAATGACATGACTGTGTTCGTTCTAAGGCTGACAAATGTTCTGCATTTTACTCACTACTTCAGAAAAGAGTCAATACATCTGCTTCATTTCTTTGCAGGTGTCCAGGTATCCACACATTCCCTGGATCTGACCTTTGAAGCTAGGCCTCAAATGAGTACATGTTGTTTTCTCAAGGGTTGGAACCAAAACCTTGTGGGTTTTTTTTTTTTTTTTTTTTTTTTGGTTTTCTTAATGTTTTTCTTTTAGAGAAGAATTTGTGAAATGGAAGGCAATCTGAAATCTGGCTGTTGGTTTAAGATTATCAAACTATTCATTGAGCTAATACCATTTATTGTTGAACAGATTTTCAAATAAAATCGCCCATCAGGAATAGGATG